AGGTTTTCTCTCACGTGCTTGTCATGTGAAGAACTCATGGCATTTTCCATTTCTTTTGTGTTTTCCCTCTATAGTTGTCGCTAACTATTGGACTTAAACTTTATTAAAATAAAAACACTAGGCAGTTAAACCATCGGCTAACTGGGAATTGCCAAAGTGTACCATATTGAAGTTTTTCCATATTAGTTCATTGAATATTTTTCTTTTGAGAGAAGATTAGCTCATTAAGTTTTATTCTGAAATCAATCACTCAAGTCATTGCATATCTATTAGATTATCAACTCTTATTATATCTAATAAGAGATGCAATGAGAATATGAAATATTCGACTGATCATTTATGTGTTGGAAAATTATTTATTTTCCCTCGGCCCAGAGTTTTTTCCCCCTTGATCCATGAGAGGTATGATCTCTCTTTCTCAATGAATTTACCTCTTGTACGTGTAATTTGAGTAGTACTAAAGTGATGTAGGATGCATAATGGACAAGTTCATGGAGGATCATGATTACCGGGAGCTAAACGCAGATACATACGTATTGTTGATTTACTCATAAAGAAATGACAATATATTCTAACCCGGAAGACACATTCTGACATATTATATATGTAAATCGTCTATCTGGACGAGATAGAGCCAACCAGATTGTTAGAATTTGAAAAAATCATCAATAATACCCGGACTTGGTTGAAATTTGAAAATAATCAGCTTTGAATTTTATTTTAGTAATAAAGTTAGAGTTACTCTAGATTGGAGAAAACAATTCATTTTGATCTAATTTCAACCGATTTGTTTCCTCTATTATAGGGAGTCGTTTAGATAATTTTAAATTACTTCTTTCTTTTAGGAATTTTATTCTTATTAGGACGAGACTTTGTTTTTTCTATTTAAGAAGAAGAGCAGTACCCTATGGATAGATCACTTTATTAATAAAATTTCTCTTATCATATTTTCTTTGTAAATTTGGAGATTGTTCGCTGTATGGATTCAAAGAGCACCTCATGGTGGATTACAAGGTTTTTTTTAAAGCTGCCGCACTGCTTTATAAAGATACTTGTCCAAAATTTGCATTATTCTACCCTCTGCTCAATTACTATAGAAGTAAATATTGGTATGTCTAGAATACACCATAGTTCTTCAACTCTTCCATGGATTAGAAAGAAACAAGAGCATCATTAGTACTGGCCTAAAATCTAAGATCAAAGGAAGGAAGCATGAACATAAACAGTCTGGTAGTGTAAACGAATTCTTCGCTTTCGACGTACTCATCAGACTCCCTCCCTATAGAGGATCTGCTCACCTGCAAATCCGTTTGCAAATTGTGGCATGCTTTGCTCTCTGATCCTACCTTTGTCGCCGCGCATCTAAAGCATTGGAGGGAAAATCCCCAGCTCGTAACGGTAGCCCTGTCGCATGAACCCTCACCTCGAGTAGTTGCTATGTGACTATGTGAGCGTACAAGTGAGGGAGGAAGAAATCGAGGTTGTTTTTCAAGGAAGAGTTTCGTGCAGTGCAGACATATCTGTTACCTCCCAAGCACTGCAACGGTTTGGTGCTGCTGACTACTCAGGCCGAGTTGGTCGTATGCAACCCCAGTACCAAGGAGTTGGTAAAACAGCACAAAACACTGTACAGCCAGTTCAGGCTATGTCGAAAGTATAACGAAAGTATAAACACCTACAAAGTAGCCAATTATGTCTACCGTTATTGGAATCCTGAAGAATAAAACCTACGACCTGCGCTTTGAAGTTCTTACTCTAGGAACGGGCTTTTCATGGAGAGCTGTCAAGGATCCACCCGATCCAATTGGAGCCTGTGTTAGCAATGAGTCTGTAGGAGAAGCTATCTATTTCATTATCTCTAACAGTCTCCACTGTGGATCTCCGAAAGCCTTCCTTTGATTCAATCTCAAAGACGAAAAGTTTAGAGTAGCCGACCCCCCTTATGGGAGTCCCGTTGACTATAACAATATGAGCATCGTGAATTTTGAAGGCAGTCCATGCTTCATTCATCGGTCAAAGGATAGGAAGAAATATAAAATGTGGATTTCCAGGGACTGTATCAAGCACGTGTGGGTTCCTACATTTAGTTTCGACTTGATGAAGCCACCAAGGTTTGTGTCACCTCTTGCATTTAGTCGTGGAAAGCTTCTGCTCGAGATACACGATGAAGTTCAAAGGTTGGAGTATTATGATCCTCAGATTAAAGTGTTTGATCCTGTCATTTGTATTCGGAAAATTTTGACTTTCTACGATGAGGACTATTGTGGTCTTCACGTTTTTGCAGGTAGTGCCCCGTTTGCAGTAGTGAATTCTGTGGAAGGGTTGATATCAATTAGACCCAAAAGCTGAAGCTGGAGATGAAACTGATAATTATTTTTCCTTTGTCCGTGACTTTTGCTTTTGTTCAAATATGGGTAAGAACATAATTTATATTTTGACTATTTATGCTTCTTGAAATTAATTTTTAGACCAAATAGTTGTATTTGGTAATATGGATAATTATATTATTAACCCAAAAGTTTGTGTTTGCTACTTATGCTACTGAAGAAAACTGTGTTTAATTGTGACTGTTGGAAGCACATCCTTCAATACTCTTGGTTCAGATTTAGGACAAATTCATTCTAAATTATTTTTGTAGAGGCCGCAGGTTCTAGAAACTATATATCGATGGTTATACCTAATGTGGTTTTCTCATTTCTATGTCACGCCTAGATTAGTATTTTCTGTTGCATACATATATTAGCATTGCGTCAACAATTGTATTTTGAGGAAATGTGATGGTTTATTTTTACTGATTAACTTCAGATATCTCTCACATAGGTAATGTGATGTCCAATTCAGGTTATTCATCTTAACATTTGCATTTGTCTTAAGTTCTAACTTACTGTTTCGTTGTTGGCTCATATATGTTGTATTGCTCCTCTATTGCTTAGAACTTCCAACTACAAAGTTTTCATATGACCCATGAGCATATATCTTAATCATGTACTTTGTAGGACAAAGGTGTTTGTGAATTTATGTGAACAACCAAGCATATTGGTCTCTTCTTAATATTTGTTGATAAGAAAAACGCCTTTAATTTTTGCTCAAAATACAAACAGATTGAGAATGATACCTGCCACCCCCAATCATACACACATGCAGGCACATATGCACGCATATACACGCATGCATGAACACACAGCCCCATGCCCAACCCCTCTAGCCGTCACACACCCCCACATGCACAGGGCGCACACTTACCCACACTCATCCACCCTCACACGCACATGCACACATGCCTGCCAAGCCACCAAAACACATGAACAAACCAACCCACACACCAATTCGCGTGTGATGCACTGCTTGTGCATGCACAGAGAGACGCACACAAATATCATTTCCAGTCATCAATGTGGATATGGACATCAGATACTGACATGGATCAATAAGGAACAAAATTAGCCAAAATCCAATGCGAAATTGGAGCAAGTTTAGAGAAAACTAATGTGAATACATTCAAAATGTCAGAAAATGGGTAAGTTCGGAAAATAATGCATGTTGAGTGATATAAGAATTGTGTAAAACACAAAATTATCACTTAAATCAGAGTCAATGGATGTACATGGCACTCAAAAACCTAGGTTCTAGACCCTGGATCACTAAAATCAGTTTCAGATGAACTAATCTAAAGTCAAAATAATTCTAGTTCTTTTTTTACAAGTATCTTGTTGTCTATATTTGTATCCATTTGTTATCCATATTTGTTTCCATATCTATCTTTTGTGCCGTATCTGTTTTTGCATTTGTGTAATACTCGAGTCTAAATTCAAAAGAGACCAGGCATTTATTTTTATATACATCCACGTCAATTCGAATATTCATGTGGGTAACCGCTGATATCAATATTCATTTGCGCCCATATTGCTTAGTCATAGCTAATACTTGTGGTTCTATTATGTGTAGCAATTTCTCGTTGTGCCCTTTCAATGTTGTCTCTGGCATTTCTATTCTATGTTTCTCATTTCTCAGGTATCAAATGCACGTCAGCATGAATTTATTTGCGCATGAAACTTATAAACACTGAAATGATAGATATAGAATATTCTCACCATAAAGTGCAGGCACAGGAAGCATAGTTGTGATCTCTGCAGAAATTGGACTCTTATTTCTTATCAGCCACAAGCTTATCGATGTATTCCTTTGGTTTCCATCTGACTGTTTATAACTTGGACTGATTAATTACTTTCAGTTTACATGTTTTGATCGACATTCTTTATACTTATTTTTGTGTTTACATGTTGTTATAACTTGCATGTTGTCTAATTATTGAAAAAAAAATTGTGTTTCTCTCTTTCTTGTGTATATATGTTTCATAATCGAGCCATTGGCATGTGCATGTACTATCATCTTCTTGTTAATGGAAGAGGATGGAAATTCAGTGAACAAAGTGTCATAACCAATATCTCCTATTATATACGCATGCATATTATGTTTTTTACGGAAGTCATAATAACATAATAACCATTATATATGGATTCCATAAAGGTTATGGTTAAGCTCTGGAATCTCTGGATATGAACCTGATCCTAATTTCTGAATTTAGATCCTTGACATTATATCCAAATATCCGGATTAAAATCCTTCAAATTCCTAAAATTAAATCATCTCTTACAATTTTGTTTTGTTAATGGGTTTGCAATAAATCCTACAAAAATTATCAAGGAAAGGGATTTTGTGGTATTTAAAACAACTTAATGGATTTGGAAGTGTGAATTATAAGCATGGGGTGTTAATTAAAACAAACTGAATGGATATGGGTGTAAATTACAAACATGAAGATTTGTAGTCCTAATATAAAAATAGGATAAAATCTGGGTTTCAAAAGAATGAAACCAAAATAACAGCAATAACTATAATTGGAATGCAAATAAGGAAAAATTGAGGAACCTTTATATAATGTATGGTATTGACATGGTTTTTAAGTAGAAGATCTGACCCGGCCCGGCCCATTTCATATATTTGCTTTACCAATCGAAACAAAACAGATAAAGGGAAGATAAGGGAAGGGAGAGCGCGAGAGAGCTGGGAAGTGAAGAGAGCGCCATGGCGTCCCTTTCTCCTTCGATCCATTCATCTTGGTGAGTCTCAATCTTTAACTTCTCTTCTCTTGGATTCGTACACTGTTTACAAGCAAAGGAAATGGGACGAGATTCGAAACCAAATGATTTAGTGCGTTGTTGTTAATAGAGTGTGCAATTGTGTGATTCAGTGGGATAACTTGAGTGAATTTGAAATGGGTTTCTCGAAAAGATGGAAACTTTGGAGATTAAACAGTGTTCCTTCAAATGGGTTTCAAGTTTTTTTTCCTTATGTTGAATTGGGTTTTTAAGACTTAATTTCTTGCAAAAATTCCCTGAATTCAGGGATTAAAGTGCTTCTTTCCGTCTGGAGAAGATGAGAACTAGTCTGCGGAAACTAAATAATTCAAATTCGTTGTGAGGTATTAGAAAGAAAAATGTATTCCATTTTGAGAAGAAAGATTTTTGAAATGAGTTGCATTGAAATGTCCAAATTTGGTACTGTGGAAACTCTGCAGAGGTTTAAGATGTAACTAACAATCCCCGGTCCTTTCAAATTGCTGTTTTGTAAGTACTGTCCTTATAATGTTTTGTTAGGCTCCATTTGAAGTTTGACGGAATAAAATGAGTTCTGAAATCAGTTCGTTAGCTTTTTTTTTCTCCCATTCTTACCCCCACGTTACTCCCTTTATAAGTATATCACAAAGTATAACTCTCTGATTCAAGTGTATATGACACATCTTTGGGGAATGAGCCATGGTGTGGGGAATGGGATTTCATTGAAGTGCTGGAAAAAAAATCTATTTGATGACTGGATTGTTATCTATTGCTAGTTGCTTTCTCCAGACACTTATCCTGAACCTTAGTATCTCCAATGGCCTTGGCTTATCTTTTTCCATTGGTCAATTTTCTACATGGATTCGAGACGTAGTGTTTATATCTGAAGGAAACTATTATCTATAGGACGCTTTTCACCAACCAAAAATTCAACTTATCTGTGATCATCCATGCCCGCAACATGAATGTTAAACTCTTTCAAACATTCCTTTATCAATAAAATTTTGACTTTTCTGTGCTCATCCATGCCCATGCATTAATTTACTTGTAAGATGAACCATGTTATTTCCCTTGAAGGAACCTGATAATTTATGGGCACACTTTCATATATAAATAACAAGCAAATGCATATATTTATGTGATTCAGACATTCATGTATGATGTATCTATAGATATACTTATCTAGCTGTATATTTATGTTAGATTTAGGGCAATGCAAATGTCTGATATCCCATTGACATGTTGGAATACCACACCTGTGTACTACAAACCATAGGAAGAAACATGGATTGAGGTGTTGAAAAGGAAATGGTAACTGTTGTTTTAGAAGAGACGGAACTTATAGAGCTGAATGGAGAAAAGGGATTCATGTAGCTAATCTCAATAGTTTGGTTTGACTCTTGAGGCTTTGTTGTTATTGTTGTTTCATCTTCATTTATATTAGTCATCGGTTCACCCTATCAAGTGCCTAAACTTATGGAGTTTACCTTGTATTGTTTTATCAACTTTTCTTATCATAACAATACTTAATGGTCATAATACTCTTTTTTACTCCTCTTGCGGGTCTAATCCAGCCATTACTAATTGGATAACTAGTTGCACGCGAAGAAATGTGTATGAACATACTTCTTCTGGATCTAATCACTTCATAGATATTTAAAATGACCGTATAAAGATAGACACTTAAAGACACATTTTACAGGCACATTACAACTGGAGTGGGAAATGCTGTTCTACCTCTATGAGTAGCTATTTACACTACTTACAGCTGGTGCATAGTTATCATTTATACGACAGTCAGAATATTACACATCTCTTTAGTCTGCAAGCACCAAAAAGTCACTTGGAAAGAAACAAGTTTTCATAGGCTTGATGTAAGTTGATCAGTCATGTTTGATAGAAAGCTTCTTGCTTCCTTCCTTGTGACATAATTTGGCATAAATCTATCTTAATAAGCTGACACCACCTTAAATTTTCCACCTCATACGTGATAAGCTGTTTTATGTTTGATGATAGCAACTAGAAAGCCAGCTAGTCGTGGTAGTTGTTAGCATTTTAGTTGTTCTTTCTAGCATATATCTTTGAATATTCTATTGTAGCAAAGGAAATGGGACGAGATTCGAACCAAATGATTTAGTGCGTTGTTGTTAATAGAGTGTGCAATTGTGTGGATTCAGTGGGATAACTTGAGTGATTTGAAATGGGTTTCTCGAAAAGATGGAAACTTTGGAGATTAAACAGTGTTCCTTCAAATGGGTTTCAAGTTTTTTTCCTTTATGTTGAATTGGGTTTTTAAGACTTAATTTCTTGCAAAAATTCCCTGAATTCAGGATTAAAGTGCTTCTTTCCGTCTGGAGAAGATGAGAACTAGTCTGCGGAAACTAAATAATTCAAATTCGTTGTGAGTATTAAAGAAAAATGTATTCCATTTTGAGAAGAAAGATTTTTGAAATGAGTTGCATTGAAATGTCCAAATTTGTACTGTGGAAACTCTGCAGAGGTTTAAGATGTAACTAACAATCCCGGTCCTTTTCAAATTGCTGTTTTGTAAGTACTGTCCTTAATAATGTTTTGTTAGGCTCCATTTGAAGTTGACGGAATAAATGAGTCTGAAATCAGTTCGTTAGCTTTTTTTTTCTCCCATTCTTACCCCACGTTTACTCCCTTTATAAGTATATCACAAAGTATAACTCTCTGATTCAAGTGTATATGACAATCTTTGGGAATGAGCCATGGTGTGGGAATGGGATTTCATTGAAGTGCTGGAAAAAATCTATTTGATGACTGGATTGTTATCTATGTCTAGTGCTTTCTCCAGACACTTATCCTGAACCTTAGTATCTCCAATGGCCTTGGCTTATCTTTTTCCATTGGTCAATTTTCTACATGGATTCGAGACGTAGTGTTTATATCTGAAGGAAACTATATCTATAGGACGCTTTTCACCAACCAAAAAATTCAAGCTTATCTGTGATCATCCATGCCCGCAACATGAATGTTAAACTCTTCAAACATTCCTTTATCAAATAAAATTTTGACTTTTCTGTGCTCATCCATGCCCATGCATTAATTTACTTGAAGATGAACCATGTTATTTCCCTTGAAGGAACCTGATAATTTATGGGCACACTTTCATATATAAATAACAAGCAAATGCAATATATTTATGTGATTCAGACATTCATGTATGATGTATCTATAGATATACTTATCTAGCTGTATTTTATGTTAGATTTAGGGCAATGCAAATGTCTGATATCCCATTGACATGTTGGAATACCACACCTGTGTACTACAAACATAGGAGAAACATGGATTGAGGTGTTGAAAAGGAATGGTAACTGTGTTTTAGAAGAGACGGAACTTATAGAGCTGAATGGAGAAAGGGATTCATGTAGTGCTAATCTCAATAGTTTGGTTTGACTCTTGAGGTTGTTGTTATTGTTTTTCATCTTCATTTATATTAGTCATCCGGTTCACCCCTATCAAGTGCCTAAACTTATGGAGTTTACCTGTATTGTTTTATCAACTTTTCTTATCATAACAATACTTAATGGTCATAATACTCTTTTTCTACTCCTCTTGCGGTCTAATCCAGCCATTACTAATTGGATAACTAGTTGCACGCGAAGAAATGTGTATGAACATACTTCTTCTGATCTAATCACTTCATAGATATTTAAAATGACCGTATAAAGATAGACACTTAAAGACACATTTTACAGGCACATTACAACTGGAGTGGGAAATGCTGTTCTACCTCTTATGAGTAGCTATTACACTACTTACAGCTGGTGCATAGTTATCATTTATACGACAGTCAGAAATATTACACACTCTCTTTAGTCTGCAAGCACCAAAAAGTCACTTGGAAAGAAACAAGTTTTCATAGGCTTGATGTAAGTTGATCAGTCATGTTTGATAGAAAGCTTCTTGCTTCCTTCCTTGTGACATAATTTGGCATAAATCTATCTTAATAAGCTGACACCACCTTAAATTTTCCACCTCATACGTGATAACTGTTTTATGTTTGATGATAGCAACTAGAAAGCCAGCTAGTCGTGTAGTTGTTAGCATTTTAGTTGTTCTTTCTAGCATATATCTTTGAATATTCTATTGTAACAGAAGGAGCTAGAGTCGGAAGAGCATACTTCAAGATGCTGAAACTAATCACATTAAACCTGAAATGTGATTTGTCCCTGATGTGTTACTTGAGCATCAGACCATGGGTTTCTAAATGGTTTTCCACCAGAGTGCCTCCTTTGGGCTTTAGGATCTCCTCTGTTTGGTCCAAGTTTATGATTATTTCTGTTCTCATTTGTGCAGCTTTATGTTCATTCTACATTATGTTCAATGTTTGCGACATCACCGATAGGGGCTAGCTGTTGGTTTGTAACTGAGATTTTTTTTTTAATTGTTCCTGCAATTTGTCTTCCAACTTCTCTTGCATTGTTATCAGAGATTCTGTTCACTCTGAATTTGCATGCTTTGCTCATTATTATCTTATATCATATTGTAAATATTGTTCAAAGTGGAATTTTCTGTTTTTTGTTTTTTTTCGGTTGATTTCATTCAGCTGGTTGGTTAAGTGGCTTAATCTATTGAAACAAAATTTCATCTGCATTTATTTGATTAACCTAGATCTAAAGAGATCTATTCTTCTCACATTTCAGTAATTTGAAGTCTGTGTTTCTTGGCGAGAGGAGCGGAGTTCGATGTCCAAACAATCCTGTTGTTAAGATTGGTTTTCTGAGGAAACCAATTGAGTGCAAGGAATCTAGAATAGGAAAAATGCCTATAGAAGTGCCATCAAATGTTACCATTGTACTAGAAGGGCAAGATTTGAAGGTTAAAGGGCCATTAGGAGAACTCTCGAGGACATATCCACGTGAAGTGCTGGTTAAGCGAGAGGAATCCGGACATTTAAAGGTGGCTAAAGCTATGGATACTCGAAGAGCGAATCAGATGCATGGTCTTTTCAGGTAAGAAACTATTTTATATGTATTTCATTTACTTTACAACATCTGAAATCATTTATATGTAGTTAAAGGCAAACCAGACTTTGGTGGTTATGATTAAGCATCAAAAAGAATTTATCACGTGTTAATTCTATTTCACAGTTCAAGTTATTTTTTAAATTGATTTTCATGCCTGTATATTTATCATTTTATCTCTACAAGTGCCTCATTTGTTTTCTTGTGTAGTATATTATAGTAATCTATCTGTAGGTTGACGCATAAGAAGTTACATGAGTAGGACTTTATATAATCTGAAAATTTACTGTTGACTGTGAGTAGAATAAGAACTGATAGATGACCTTTTCAAATGAGAAAACTTAATCCCATTCTCTAGAGAGTCTTAATTCTTTGGTCTTCTGTTAGAAGAGCAGCAGGCTCTTTCCGAATGTTACTTGGACATAAAAAATTAATACGTAAATTACAGATAATCACCCTATGGTTTAAAATGACTCTTTAACCCCTCGTAATCAAATAATCATGATTTTTTAATGTAATTGTCAATTGTTAAATGATAACCATATATAGATTTTCTGTAGGCATGGAGGTAATTTCCATGTTCTACTAGAATTAGTACTACATTCTGTTATGTTGAAATTAACTTCAAAGAAGGCTGTCACTTTAGAACCTTTAAAGAGTTATTCGATAGGTTATCCAAAACTAATTCATGAGATCGGATATCCGTTGAGAAGTAGTAAAAAGGTGCACTCGTTATGTTACATTTGATAGTAGACTTCTTTATGAGGATCCTTGAGGCTAGTCAATGATTATGTGCCAAAAGATCAATAGGCCTTAAACTGAGATTCCCAAAGCTCAAACTATTAGATTATCACTCATGAAATCCCAACAAAGGCTACTGATTCTTTGAAAACCGACCCCAAAAATTTGGAATAAACACTTCGTTCTTCTTTCTCTATGTCTCTATTCATGAAGATATGTGCGTATATGTATTTCATTTGAGTGCAGGACACTTACTGATAACATGGTGGTCGGAGTCTCTAAAGGATTCGAGAAGAAACTCCAGTTGGTCGGAGTTGGTTATCGAGCAATGCTAGAAGGCAAAGACTTGGTTCTGAGTCTAGGGTTTTCTCACCCGGTTCGGATGCCAATACCCGAGGGGCTCAAAGTGAAGGTAGAAGAGAACACACGGCTCTCAGTTACTGGTTATGATAAATGTTCTATTGGTGAGTTTGCTGCCGCTATAAGGAAATGGAGACCCCCCGAGCCTTACAAGGGGAAGGGAGTTAGATATGCTGATGAAGTTGTAAGAAGAAAGGAAGGAAAAGCTGGGAAAAAGAAGTAGAAGTTTCTTGTATCTTTTGAGTCATGTTTTGGTGTTGCCTTTGGGATTTGATGTTTAAATTTTCTCCGTTTTATTTGAATGTGGCTTGTATTCACATTGTCATTGTAGGCCTTGCGCATATACTTCGAGTTTAAAAGAAATTTTTTAATGTGTTTTCCTTGTTAATATTTTTTGGTATAGTGATCATCAAAAAAAGATCAGTATAAATTGCTTCTTTTTGCAGGCTATGGTGATTGCAAGAATGTTCAATAATGGGAAAAAAAAAGAATAATACAGTTTGACATGATCGGGAAAAAAACACAGTTTGACATACTGAACAGCTGAGTGTTATCCTTCTTTTTGTTGTCCATACTTTTTATTGTATAGTATGGAAATAATCTGTATAGGTTGACCTTTGCAGTAAAATGCTAATAATAGAAGAAATATAGGATCCATTCCTTGTTCCTACAAATAATAACTTGCATATGGTTGTGATGAACAGACTAAAAGTTATTAGCACACGCGAAAACTCAAGGAAATAACAATTAATTTCCATCTAATTGTGTCTAAAAAAAGAAAAAAACCCTGATCTTTGGAGCAGAAACAGTGAACAAGTCTGCTCAACTTCACTACCACAATATTTGAGGGGTCGAAAATTTTCCTTATTCACATGTAAAGAAACAAATCTGTCATAAAATAGAAATTTCCCTAAAGCAAAACTCCATTAAGATCAAATGATATTGAAAATGGTCAGATTGAAAAGCTAAAAGTATCGACTCTTCTCGATTATCAGGTGATCCTAACAAAGACTCATAGTCTCAGTTACAACATCAGCATCTGCATTTACTGCAAGTTTACATGTAAAGACAGAAAGTTTCATATTGTTTACAAACATGAGAACATGATGAGAAAACTGCTCAGTATAGGTTTTACACAGTTCTCTGTAAGCCAGGCCATTGTTCTGATGCTTGTATAGCCAACTCATCTGACTTCTGAGGCATGTGAATTTTGACTCTTAAGGTAGCCTTCAAATTAATAATCAAGCTGTTCAAAAGACAAATAAGTCAGATTTGATCATTTGATAAAGCAAGAGTTAACAAATTACAGCTTAACAGTACTTGCCTCAAGTAAGCCTAGAGAGACTACAAGTCATGTTTCTAGCACCACAATGAGACTAAACTTGTCTGTAATCATGCAAATCATGTCAGTAATGAATAAGTAAACATGAAATTTACTCTAAAAAGCTATATTTAAGGCAAACCATCATGTATTCAAGTTAATGCAAAAATATGAGGTTTATACAAATTGCTCAACTGTCAAGCGCAAGAGTTGATTTCCCGCTAAATGAAAAACATACTTATTTAGCTCACGTAGGCGTCAATAAAAGAATTTAACTTCTGGGACGTGTCAAGTACGTTTCGGTTGTGTGTCAGGTGCGGCTTCATGATACAAGTATCCATGTAAAATAGACTTTATATCTCATCTCCCAAAAATGATTAAATAAATGATCATATAATGAATAAATACACAAATGAAGGAAACCTTAAAATTATATATATATCAAATGCACAAAAAAAGAAACTCTAGTCACAAATAAAACATATGAAAGATATACTTTGTATTAACATATCAAAAATACCTTGTTCATAAGACAGAAAATTGCACTTTACATTGATTTTCAATTTTGACGAATAAGTCGAATTGCTTCTATTACACGTTCCGCATTTATTGGTTTTGTCAAATATGAATCCATTCCTGAAAGGATTGCCTTTTTTTCTTCCTCAGATGTTGCATGAGCTGTGAGAGCTACGATTGGAATGTGAATGCCATAAAATTTCTCCTCTTCCCTAATTTTTTTAGTTGCTTCATAGCCATTCATAATTGGCATCTGAAAATAGAATATAGAATTTATGAAATTATCTGTACAAAGAGATGTATAAATTGAAAATAAAAGTATTCTAAATAGACAAAAGAAATTAACTAGGAAAAAAATGGAATGTTCAATTACCTCACAATCCATAAGAACAACATCGTAAGGAAATGACTTTAAAGCACCTCCTCTATTGCTTTCATTATAATCATCATCCTCTTTTAGAGCCTTTTTGATCAAGTTTAAAGCTTCAAGTCCATTTTCAGCAAATTCAACCATTGCACCAAATCGGGACAAGGTGGATGAAGCAATGCGTCGCATTAAAATATTATCTTCAACCAATAAAATTTTCATATCAGCTAAAGGCTTTTCAATGTCCAATTTATGGACACTTGGTATTGATTGTGAAGCTAGAGGAGGAATGTGTGAAATATGTGTTGTATCTTGGGATCTTGATGTAGATGGATGAATTTCGCTTCTTCCTACAAGATCTTGCATCAACCTCGACATTTCATACAACCGAGAACCATGAATTGGTTTTCTCAATATAAGATCATATGATTTTTGTTTTAATCTTCTCAATTCAGCACTTTGTGTATTTGCATTCACCAACCAAACAGTCTTCAACTGAGTTCTTTGATTATCTTTTGAAAAATTGTTCAATATTGAGCATATATTTGAGAAATCTCCACAATTAATATCAATGACAGCCAAAATGAGAGTACAGGAATCTCTGGATCTTCTTCGAGATGTTTGCTTTGTGCTTAGAGGTAGAATGTGGTTTGTCTCATCTGTAGGACTACGAGACATATCTTTCACTATATCCAAAGATTTGACTTTATTTAGAGAATTCCCTCGCGATAATGCATCAAATTTTCCAGAACCGCTATCGGTAAGTTTACATTTTTCAAGCATGGGATACAGAAGTTCCCAATTTTGAACTATCCAAACCTTCATTCCAATATTTTCCATCCATCTTTGCAGAATTCTTTTCGTCTCATTACTTTCAATTAATAGTAAGGAATGAACTCCTTCCATTTTAAAAGGCTTTCTAAATGCCATAGCTCGAAGAGTTGGTTGGTTTGATGCTTCTTGGTTGTGTGAATACTTATTTTCTTCTTCGGTATGACTAAAGGCCATCTCACAAGATTTTAGAAAAATATTAAATCTGAAACAAGTTCCTTCTTCACCATGTTCTTTATCTTCAATGCTGATCTCGCCCCCCATTAAACGTACCTAGAAAAAAATTATAAAAGTTAACATTGATTTGAATATATAAAATATATATATATAAGTTACTGTAACAAGAATGTAATAAGAAATTGTGTACTTACGAATGATTGAACAATTCCAAGACCTAAACCAGTCCCTTCATGTCCTCCAGGAGATAATTCTTTAACTTGAACATAATTTTCAAAAATAGATGCTCTTTTTTCCTTTGGTATTCCCAATCCACTGTCCTCAACCTCAAAAACAAACTCAATCATATTTGAATCATGTAGAGAAGTATTAATAGTCATCACATCAGAATAAGCATCATCTTTTTTGAACCATCTCAACTTAGAGCAAGCAAACTTAGGAAATCGATATGATTGTTTTGAAGAATGTACAGAATTTCCTAAGCTCGGTTTCTTAGCCCATGCACGCAAAATTACATGGCCCTTCGATGTGAATTTCACTGCATTACCAAGTAAATTATCAAGAATTTGCTTAAGTCTCCTACAATCACCTTTGACATTTAATGACTTCAGGACAGAAAAATCACAGGGATCCCATATAACCTCCAGGCCTTTCTTTAGAGCTACAACATGAAACATGTCAACTGATTCTTCAAGAACTTGAGTCATATCAAATTCTACCTCTTCCAATTGCATCTTTCCAGCTTCCACTTTGCTCATATCAAGAATAGAATTTAATATTTCTGAAAGATGGTTTCAATAAAGAGTTTATTAAATCATATTAATAAAAGACAACTTTTTACAATAAAAAGAATGTTTGCCGATATGTAAACTTACCTAGAAGCTTAGACGCACAAGCATTCATTTGGGTCAAGTTCATATCCAACTCAGATTGTGGAGGAACATCATCACGACAAAGTTCGATTAACCCACTGATTCCTGCAAGAGAAGTGCGAACATCGTGACTAGCGCTAGCAAATGCTAAGCTCTTATTCATACTTTTTCTCTCTGCTTGTTGAACCGCATCTTTTAGTCTAATGAGGTTTGCCTGTAGAAATGCCTCTTGTTTCCATGATCTTCGGAATACTTGCAATATAAAATAGCTTGCAAATATTAAGGCAAGAATCGTAGTTGATTGTAACAATATAATAATGATCTTCAAAGCTCGAAAGATATATCTAATATTTTCGAAAGGGAAAGCAACCACAGTTACCTACAAAAAATTAAACAACATTAGACATTTAAAATTTTCTTAAGAATGAAATGCAAATGTTTAGAGGACACACCAATTGAATCCCTGCAACATCAAAAGAAGCACAACCCAACTTGTAACTCTTGCCCCATATATCTAAAATTTTAGAATCCATGGGTCCATTACTGTCCATTTTGCAAGAAATATTGACATATTCACCAGAGGACAAATTTTGATCCTCATAAACTGAGACAATGTCATCTTTGACAATGTATTGAGCATCGGGAGGCCCAGTTTGTGCTAAAGAGTGCCCATCTTGTGTTGATAAGTATAAGTGTGCTCCATGAAGATTAATTTCGAGTATATAAGCAATGAATTTTTTAACTCCAATACCAAGTGAAGCCACTCCATTATTATCTACTGGGGCTTTTAAAAAGAGCATTTGTTCTTTATCCATTCCCCATCCAAATCCCCAAGAAACATATCCCCTCGAATGAGATTCATTGAGTTGTATAGGAGGTAAGACAGTTGCATTACCAAATCTCTCACCATTAGTCTCATTAACTTGTTGACGATATAAATTATTTCCAGAAAGACCATTTACAAGATTTGAAATGTTTGAGAATATAGCATACGTCTGATTCCTTTCATGGTAGTACGAGAACATGGAGTCATCATCTGTAATATATGATATCTGAGACACCCATGAGAACAATGTGTACACCATAAATAGGTTAGGAAAGACCTACACATCAAAAAAATATAATTAGAAATTTGTTCATCTATTTTATTACTATAGTTAAAATGTTACCTTGCTCTCACTAATAGAAGTCGATGGTATATTCACATCACCAGTGGAGCTAAGAAGCCTCGCTAGATTATAAAGAGAAGTATTTGCCTGAAGCAAAAGTTGCATCCTATCTTGAACATGTTCGATTAAAACTCTCTGTGTATCATCAAAAGAAGCATGCACATTATGTTGGATAGGTTGACTCATTGCTAATATTGCAATTGTAATTGCACTAAGAGCCACCAAGACCTGTATGCATAAGTAAAACAAAAATAACATGTGAAGAAAACCAAAAATAACGTTCAATTGAGAATAATCACAAAGATGATTTAGAGAGGGAAGTACTATAGGAAATATGATCCATATGAGAATAAGCCCAAATGTCTTCATCCTCACGTTTTTGCTGTTGATATAAAGAGGATTGTAAGTAGGAGATATAATTTAGAAGACATAATCAATCTACATGATAAAATGGAAGTGTAAAATGTACGATAGAATATATGGTGGTATCTAAAGTTGTAGGAAACCAAACTTTTCAAATAAGGAGATATTCATGACCGCATCACTATGTTTAATTTTTCCACATAACATTTAATAACAAATGTTGATTTCCATCTTATAAAATATTCTTATAGTCGTTCAAGTCCATTCCTTTTTCAACTAAGTACACATTCATTTTCCCCCGATCAACCACGAAAACATAAAATCATTCTTACTAAGTCTATTTTCAACACTAGCCAATTATTGTACAATTTTCTTAAAATAAACTAACTAGTTAACCTACTATAGTTAATCAATGATATTTAATTCTAAAATTTCTAGAACTAAAGTACATTTTTGTATCTTTAAAATCATTATTTTAAATATACCCAACATGGTACAATATATTGGCTGGTATATTCTTTTACAACTGCAAAATGATATAGTCTAAATATCTTTTATCGACCTTTGGCAATTTTGGGTGATATTTTCCCGACATGACCGATATATGAGCTAATATATTGGTGAATTATGCTTTTATATTGCTTATCGTAAAACAATATACACTTTTAGTAATTTTTGGATGACATAACATAATTTTCGCAATATATCAATATTTTGGCCCAATCAAATATTCTAATGTTGATATGGACTTTTATTTATTTTAAAATTTTTTATTAGTGATTTTAAACATATATTCTTTACATTTTTGTATGCTAAAAATTCATTGAGTGTATTTAGATTATAATTTATGACGTTATACTATATACGCGCATTATTCAATATAGCACTCTGATATTTACCACATATTCCTAATCCTTAATATCCGCAATCTGATATGAATTTTGGTCATTCAATATTTCCCTAATATTCGATATTTAAAACTTTGTTTAAAATATGATACTTGATCACTTAAAATAGAAACAATTATGTGTAAGTAAAGGATGAGTACATGGAGAATAGAGTGAATAGGTTTAGGAACAAAATAAAAACAAAATTGAAAAATAATATTTATCATTAAAATATATTTACTCATATTAAAAATAATATGAATCAAAGAACACTTTCAACAGTTTGGCTGAGTTTGGGAAACATGGTTGGCAGATCTTTCAAGTTGGAAATATACATAAATAAATATACAAAAATATGACTACTTTCTTACCTACCTAAATTTCATATGTGTATGGGTAAATTTGATAGGCAATATTCAAAATGGTTTGAAAATTGAATGATAACACTGATATCGATAGGAAAGTTACACCCTAATTACTTCATATGTTTTTCTCAGTATATTCATAAACCATACCCTAATAAATTAGAATTTCTCATATGAAACATATACTATAAAAAGGGCTATCATAAGTATGAATAGACATGGCAAAAGATATATTAGAAGACTGAAATTTATCAAGCAGTGACAATGAAGTCCAACAAGAAATAAATTAGAAATTTATTGTAAAATTTGAAGATTCTCTCACCTATTTTCACCAGTAGAAAACTAAGAATGGTAATTCATCTACAGTTTTTCATCTGTAACAAAAATCACAGATGCAAATTTTCCATTTCCGTCTATAGTGCTCCATCTATGTTAAATATATGAACTATTTCGTTTATGCTGTTGGAATAAAACAATAATAAGCATAGAAGATGCAGACAAAAACCAATATTAATTTTCTCAACCTCAATTATTTAGTTAATCAACATAAAATCCAAACAAAATAAATCAATAGAGAACAGGATGAACAAAAGCAACAAAAGAATTGAAAGCAATGCATAAGTTTAACGCTACAAAAATTTAAAACCTTTGTGAGAATTATAAACTTTAGAGGCAACAAAATTTAACTTGGATTTTTATTAAGACCGAAACAACAATTTTCGAATCATATCAGAGAGGGGAGAATCAAGGACAAGATTTTGTCCTCTCTAGTTTCAAAACCCTAAAAATATTTGGGGCTATTTAGGTGTTTTGGGATTTTTTTTCCTTTAGTATAATTTTCAACATGGCTCGAAGAGATAGGGTGTACATATGAAGGAAACTATGATATATAGGATGCTTTCACCAATCAAAAATTTGATGTATATGTGATCATCCATGCCTAACTCATAAATGTTAAACTCTTTCAAACATTCATGTTTCAATAATAAAAAAATCGATCTATCGTGCTCTTCCATGCCCCCAAAAATAAATTTACTAGTAAGATGAAGTATGTTGTTTCCCTTTACAGAAAAGAAGCAAATGCATATATTTATGCGATTCAAACGGTCAAGTATCTATGAATGTACTAATCTAGCTGTATACTTTATGTTTAGATTTAGGGCAATACAAATGTCTAATATGCTATGCACATGTTGGAATACCACACCTGTGTACTACAAGTCACAGGGAAGGAACATGGATTGAGGTGTTGAGAAGGAAATAGTAACTGTTCTTTAAGAAGAGATGGGACTTATAGAGCTGATTGGTGAAAGGGATTCATGCTGCTAATCTCAATAGTTTGGTTTGACTTTTGAGGCTTTGTTGTTAGCGTTGTGTTTCATCTTCATTTGCGTTATTTGCCGGTTCACCCTACCAAGTGCCTAAAACTTAGTTACATGGAGTTTATCTTGTATACTTTATCAACATCTTTTATCAGATCAACATTGAATGGTCATAATACTCTTTAGCTCCTATGTCGGTCTAATCCAGCCATTACTAATTGGATAACCTTTTGCATCCATCGAAATGTGCACGGACATAGTTCGTGTAGGCCAAATCAGTGCATACATACCTAAAACAATCACATAAAGATAGGCTTGAAAACACATTTTAAAAGGCGTAATACTACCGGAAACTGCTTATATACCTATACATGTAGTAATAGCTTGTGCATGCTTATCATCTAAGGTTATCGATAACGGATTGCCGCAAAGTCAAATGGCGGTCAAATTTAGATATATTTAAATATTCTAGAAAATAAACAAAAAATGCTTGTTGTTTTATAAAATGCAATGCAACTGCCAATTCGGACAGGATCAAATTCCAAATAGTAACATTGTACGCGGTTAAACTGCCACTGTACGCAGCTCTTTGACGTGGCACTCAGTCAAGCCGAGGTATGATCCTAGCAAGCCGACACTTTATTCCTTTTCGTTTTCTTGATTATTATCCAATTAACCGCTCAGTTGTATACAGAAGTCGCCCATTTAAATCCCCAAGTAACAAGCATTCGATTTCAAAATGAGAATTTGAAGTAGAGGAGCTCGCGAAGTATTTAGGATTTAGCCAAATTACCTTTTCCCTCTCTGTTGCGGGCCAAGCCCAACAGAGAATGGCGACGGTGGCGGTGGCGGAGAGCTTTGGAGAAAGCCGACTAGCCGGAGATTTGGTGCTCCGGTGCTGGAGAAGGTGGGGCCCGTGAGAAGGTGAGACCGTGAGAGTGAGTCGCTGACTGAGATGAGATCGTCGAGTGGTCGCCGGAGGAGGTGAGAGCGCGGGCGGCGGCCGCTAGGTTTTGGGTCGGGGCTGGAGTCAGAGAGGAGGGGAGGTGAGAGATTTTTATTTACGGGTTCGGGTGCGGGTTTCGATAGAACATCCACTACGAGAGAGCGAGAGGGGGGGGGGGGAAGGTTGAGATGATTTTGCTCCACGGCGTTCTATTTGAAATCCTGTTCACTCTGAATTTGCACGAGCATGCTTTGCTTAGCATTAATCCTTTAATTAAGTAGTCGACTCCTTAATTTTTGGGATTTAGAATATTGTAATCATGGTTAGTTTTATTTGATTTATTAGATTCTTAATATAAAGATATGATTAGAGGTACGCATGCAATCGGGGATACTTTCTCGATCTCCAGAGACGGACGCTAAATGCAATTTCGGTATTGAAGGAGACGAAGGGGAAGAAAAATAAATGGCAATGAGATATTACAAGTTTGCCCTTACCTCATTTAATTCACATGCCTATGTGGAAAATAAATAATATAATTAGCGCATTACGTATCAGATGTCACACAGTCAGGTTTCATATTTTGGGTCCAAAAATAATTACTCATACTTTTAAGGCAAAAACTTTCTCATTCTTATCATTATTTTTAGGGAAAATTGCTTAGAGGAACCAAAAATATTTGGCTCAATCATCCTCCTCCCCAGCCCCAAAACTCTAACCCCCAAGCCCTAAAATTAAAAAAAGAGTGCAACCAAGCTCCAAACCCACTGCCCAAGAAAAAAATTCCCAAATTACCCTTCTTCCCCATTTAAAACACAATCAATTTCTTCCTCCTAAAATCTGGGCAAAGACCTCCCCCTTCCCCCTCATCCGCCTCCTCCGCCTCCGCCTCCTCCTCCACGTGGGCCCCGCAAGGGGCGCCGCCTCAGCTCCCGATCGTCCAGCTGGAGGACGAGGAGGACCACGGCATCCGGCTGGTCCACCTCCTCATGACCTGCGCCGACTCCGTCCAGCGCGGGGACCCGGGCCTCGCCCTCTCCCTCCTCGACGAGATGCGCCCCCTCCTGACACGCGTCGGCACCTCCTTCGGCATCGGGAAGGTCGCCGGCTGCTTCGTCGACGCCCTCAGCCGTCGGATCTACTCCTCCCCAGATCCCCGGCCCTCCCAGTCGGACTTCGAGATCCTCTACCACCACTTCTACGAGGCTTGCCCCGACGGCCGCGACTCCCTGCGCGAGGTCGGCCTCCGCCTCGCCGAGCTCGCTCGCTCCGTCCACGTGCGCTTCGCTTTCCGCGGCGTCGCAGCCAACCGCCTCGACGACGTCAAGCCCTGGATGCTTGTTGGAATTTCATTTTGTTAGAAATAGCAGTAGGTTATTATGGTGGGTAGTAGTTTTTGTAATATAAAGTCGACTTTTGAAATTAAGTGTCTTGATTAGTATGATATATGTCTACTGGAATTGTCATCTCATATTTTCTTCTGTGTTGCGGAATTGTTCTTTGGTCTCCGCCGAGTCTTGTTTCATCTTTTCTTGTGCTTGTTTGGATTAACTCTTAAATATTTGGAAGTAGTTCTAGTTTTCTTGCGATTCCAGGACAACGTTTCTTTTTTGCTATTGCAATTTATCCTCAAGAGTTCAATCGGAGCTTGGCATGGGCTTTATCCTTATTTTATCTTCTGTGGGTTTAGTGTATGCAGGTGTGGGTGTGGCTAGCGAAGGAAATTTGAGTTTTGAGTTCATTGTTTGTACTGCACATTGTTGTAGATTGGTTCTACGAAGGAAAATGAGATGATGGGTTGAGATTGTAACATCCTGATGTATTTTTGTTTGATGGGTTGAAATCATTCGTAAGGATGATTTTGATCCAATTAGAGTTCAATTTGGAAGTGTTGTTATGTTTCTTAGTTATTCAAGGTTGAATGAGAAAATGAGGTAGTTTTTGGAACATATATGTATCACAGTTAACCGTAAATGTGATAAATAAACATATAATGTGATATTTCAATGTTACATGTGACAATTCAATCCTACATGTGACAGTTCTATCTTGTATGTGATATTTAGATCTGATTTGTGACTTTTGAGTGTTACTTGTGACACTGAGACCTCATATGTCACGTTAACGTATTATATGTGAACGTTATACGTGTACTTCATATCAAGCACCTGTTACAGCTTCTCGGATCAATTTTAATGACTTCGGATCAAGCACCTGTTACGGCTTCGATCTCATCTTCCAGAACCACTCGGTGTCGGTGGCCTCCTCATCGGGGTCATCGGATCCGTCGTCGACAGGGCCGGTGATGAGGGAGTTGAATTACATGGGATTTTCTAGATTTATAAATGTTAACAATAACAATGGAGCGACGCCTTTGCATCTAGCGGCGAGGCAAAGATGATTTTTATTTGTTTTAAATCTGTTTGCTTTAAATTTGAGTTTTGAGTTCATTGTCTGTACTGCATATTGCTATAGATTGGTTCTACGAAGGAAATAGGATGATGGGTTGAGATTATAGCTTAGTTATTCAATGTTAAATGAGATGTTTGGTAACTTTCATTTACAGTCTTTCTAATGTAAGCAACACTCAATGTTATATGTAAATGAAAAAAGAAACATTGTTTGTGGTAAATGAAAAAAGAAATCAAGCGTCCATTTCAATGTTATATGTGGCAATTCAATCTTACACGTGACAGTTCTACCTTATATATGATATTTAGATCTGATTTGTGATATTTGGGTGTTGTATGTGATAGTTGGGTGTTGCTTGTGACATTTGTTATTTATACGTGACATTTTGGTTATTTTATGTGATATTTTGGTGTTTCCTGTGACATTTAGTGTTTACACGTGATATTTGGGTGTTGTATGTGATATTTGAGTGTTGCTTGTGATATTTGTTGTTTATACGTGACATTTGGGTGTTGTATGTGATATTTGGGTGTTGCTTGTGACATTTGTTGTTTATACGTGACGTTTGAGTGTTGTATGTGATATTTGGGTGTTGTATGTGATATTTGATGGGTTGAGATTATACGTGACATTTGACTGCAAATGAAAGTTACCAAACATCTCATTTAACATTGAATAACTAAGCTATAATCTCAACCCATCAAATATCACATACAACACCCAAATATCATATTTACTTTAAAAGAAATTGTAACCTTTTAACTTTGAATAGACCATAATATAAAAATAAGGGAAAATTGTTTGGAGGAACCAAAATAAGTTGGTCCATGCATCCTCACCCCTAGCGTATTATGCAATCAGAGAGGGATACCTCACATATCTGAGAGGGATACTTATGTGATAAAAGGTACCTTGCATAGGTATCCCTCTGTGATAAAAGAAATTGTAACCTTTTAACTTTCAATTATGGTTTTATAAAAAGGGTATGAATCAATAAAATTTAAAACAACATAAAAATACTCATTCTAAATATAATTTTAAATTGAATTTATTTATAAACTATAATATCAGTGTATTTTTTGTAATTAAGAAATCATGATTGCTCAGTAATTAGGCTTTTATTTTATTTAGTTACTAACTTTAGGATTTAATTTGAATTTAGTACAAATTTTGGGCTTAAACTTTCTAATTCATCTTGAAATAGTCACGGATCTATTTTAAGATTTCTGTTAGATTCAAGAGTATGAGCAGAAAAAAAGATTTGAATTGTGCCTATTTTAATATATAATCTAAAAATTGGTTTTAAAAAGGATAAATAGCACTTAAATACCTTATAGTTTCACTCCTTTACCACTTATATACCTTCAGTTATACTTTGTAGCATTTATATACCCATCAGTTGGTCAAAATTGACACTTTAATCTTATATTTTGCAAACGTGAAAATTTTCATCCGAAAATTCTCATATAATATTTATATATTAATTTTTGTGTCATAATTCTATTTCAAAAATAGAATTATAAAAGTGAATTCAACAAACTCAATAGAGAAAAACTATAAGATAACCATATAAACATTACATGACAACTTTCGAATAAAAACTACTACGTTTGCAAAACATAGGATATTAATATGCCGATTTTGACCAGCTCAGTGTATATAAAATGCCACGAAATACAACTGCGGGTATGTAAGTGCTGAGAGTGTGACACTGTAAGGTATTTAAGTGCCACCTAAAAATACGACAAGCAGTGGAACAAATGAATAATTTATCCTCTCCCATGTAACGCTCAAAAACGCTGGCTCGAGCATGTGGACTCGTGTGCTGACGACTTACGCTGGTCACCAATAGATGGAAATTATTCCGATCTATTATAAATTTATATATGAGAGAGGGGACCAAGATTCTGACAACGAGACCTCTGACGTGCAAAAGCATCGTTAACCTCCTGACTTCATTGAGTATTATAATTATTAGTCAATCATTCCGAACAACAAAGCTATGGAAATTTTACAAAAAAAAAAGAAGAAAATTAAACTAAATATATGAGTGTGCTATGGTGATATCAAGAAAAATTTTTTTTTCTTGAAGGGATGGCAATAAATATCTATATATCTAAAAATAAAAAATATATAACATTAACAAATTAATAGTAACCGATTAGAACGTCCTCGGTGTTCTTTTGGGTTTCTAGTTCTGATATTGTGGTTTGGGGCTTTTATAGCGTTTGGACTCATTTGACTTTATCGGTAAGAATCTAAAAATGAGCTTTACCTTTCAATGAGCTAATTCAATTTGCTACTAGTTAGTATTTTAATAATAAGTGGAGTGTAATTTTAAACTTTTTTTTTTGGGAAGTTTACGGTGCGGTTTATAAAAATGTTAGCTAGAAAGTCATAGAAAAACATGTTAATTAGCGTTCTTCATGAATATTAAATGACCATTAATCTTCGGGGGTGTTCGTTTGTATGTAAGTTAAAAAAAATATAAGTGCGAAAATAATTCATTTGTAACACTTTTACGTGTTTACTTGCATGTAAGATACAAAAAATATTAGTATATAAAATTTTAATATAATTTTAATTTTTCCTGAAAAACTGGTTAGGCCAAAAGAAAGTGAAAATTTGTAAAATTTACCCAATTAAAGTAGTGCCTCGGATTTTTCTTCAAGATTTTTCAGAACTCGGCAGAGGAACGAACACAAAGCAAAAGGATAAAAACACGAGAGAGAAGACAAATTTAATAAAAACGAGGGCATTTTCGGTATTACGGCGGTCCCAATCAAAACAGTACTCCCTGTCAAAAGTTTTTGTTGATATTTACGCGACAACAGAGCAGGGGGGAGAAAGCAAGAAAAAAGAAAGGAAAATAAGAAAAAAAAAATCGGGAGAAAAAGGCAGAGGGAGATGGAGGAGATGAAGGAATGGTGCCGGTTGATGCCAAAGATAGAGCTCCATGCCCACCTCAATGGCTCCATCAGAGACTCCACCCTTCTGTAAATTTTTTTTTTCTCTCTGCAAAATTTAGTTTTTTTTTTCCTCTTTTTTTTTAAGTTTGCTGAGCCAAAAAATTATGTATGATGAGATATGTTTCAGACCCATGTATAGTTTCTGATCAGTTAACAGAATTGCACAAACAAATTTTCTCTGTCCAAATTTTAGTTTTTCTTAATTATCTCTCTTCAAAATTTAGTTTTTCTTCCCCTTTTTTTTTTGAAATTTAACTTTGTATACCAATAATTTTGTTTTTAATGTCTTCTGAATTCTGATCTCTTGCCCATCTATAGTTTTTTTATTAGTTAGCAGAATTGCACAATCAAAAGCTTACCATTGTGATTAATTATTCAATTTGTTTGAGTATTTTGCTAAGTTTACTTCTAGAGGATCCTGTATTAAAAATATCATCTTTGTCCTTCTAATCGTAAATTTTATATTACTTTTTGCGAGGAAAATTTTTCAAAATTTTAATTAAGAAACAAAATCACTCATGGCACAATCTCATCTGGATTCATATAGTTGGGCCACTTGGAGAGAGGTTTAAAAGAAAAAAACCACATTGTGTGAACCAACTCACATCTTTCAGAGTGCTTAGCTTTTAATTTCTCCGTGCAATTGGTTTTATGGCCATTCATACTTTGGTTCCTTGGTCTCTATTTGGAATTTTAGCTTATTATAGATCTTAAGACCATAAATACTATATCCTAAGATTGACATTGACATGTCTATAGAAATGTATAAATATAAATATAATCTATGATCTAAAAGAAAAGGCACCTTGCTCCTATCTATTTATTTTCCTTTCACGTTATGAATAGAGCACTTCTACGGTGACTTTTGTGATATTGCTGATCTTCCCTTTGAAACTATGGCTTAAGGTCGTTTAGTTCGCTGCAACTTCAGTTGCATGCAATTGTAGTTGAAGTTGTTTGGTTCAGTTTTAAGTTTTAAAGTTTTTTTTGATTTGTAGTTAGAGCTATGGTTATAGATGTTCGATTAGAGTATTGGGTTTTTTCTAACTTCTTTTGGGGGTTGGTTCATGTTTATTTAGAATATCTATATATGGTGAATTGCCAGAATATCTCCATCTACCACCGAGATAAAAATAGCAAAATGAAAGGGTAGAGTGGTATTTGTACAGAGACATATTGTTGGTTGGTTTCAGAAGAATTAAAATTGGGGCCGTTGCATCTTCTTATGTGAAAACAATTTAGTAAATGCTCCCACATACAGAGCTTTAAATACAAACTATCTATTGTTACATGGGACCAGATAATAAATGTATACACATACTCATATATGAGACTGAGCTATTCATAAATCACATGTTTTTTTCGTTTATCCTCAATTATTTTGACTGTGAAGACCTTAAATGTATACATCTAGTCATCTATGAGAATGAGCTATGCATAAGTCACATGTTCGTTTCTTTTGGCCTCAATTAATTTGACTATGAAGACCTTTGATGTACAATATATTCTTTTCAAGATGAAAGATGCAATACGATGTTAAAGATAAAATGTTTCGCTCAGATTCTATGTTAACGTAACCTAAATGTTAAGGTAAAAGAGTATATTTTACAAGATAATGTTGCTAGTGTTTGTTCTGTTAAAACATTGAGGTTCATTTACCTGATTGCTTGACTGTATCTTTTGGTTTCTTTCTTGAACAGAGAACTTGCAAAAGTTTTGGGAGAGAAAGGTGTCATTGTTTTTGACGATGTAAAAGATGTAATCATGAAATGTATGTACCAAAGAACATCAAAGATTTTCCGTTCTCTATACTATTTATTTGCTTATATAATTCCTTGTGCAAATTATTCAGAAAGCACTATTAGTCTTTTTCTTCTCCTAATGTACCTGTATATTCTGAATCTATTTCTCTCGTTAATAATTCCCGTGATTTTCCATCTTTGACATTAATTCTTCTTAATCCCTCTTTGATATCTGATGAAGGCGGCCGATCATTACCCGAGTGTTTCCAGCTATTTGATCTCTATCACATACTTGCAACTGACCATGAAACAGTATCAAGGATTACAAAAGAAACGATCGAAGATTTCGCAGCTGAGAATGTTGTTTATCTAGAATTGAGAACAACTCCAAAGGTACAATCAAGAATAAATCATTACATATATCAATAACAAATGACACTTTACATCCTGGTTTTTACATCTATAGAACAATCAAGCTAAAGGGATGACAAAGCGATCTTATATGAAAGCAGTCATTGATGGTTTAAGAGATGTTGATACTGTCGATGTTTCCTTCATTTCTTCTGATATACTGATAAATCATACTAGTGAGAAAAAGAAGAGAATTTTTGTCCGTCTTCTTCTAAGTATTGATCGTCGTGAGACCACTGAAGCAGCAATGGAAACGGTTTGTTCCTTGTTATTGCTTTTATTTACTTATTTATTTGGATTTTTAAATATTTTGAAGTGAATCACACTATACCTTCTCATTTTCAGGTTGATCTAGCAGTAGAGATGAAGGATTTGGGAGTGGTTGGTATTGATCTTTCAGGCAATCCTATTGTTGGAGAATGGTATATTTCACCCTAGTAGTTTATATAGAAGTTAATTGCAGATAAACCCCCCGCACTATCATTCAGTCATGGATAGAACCTCTGTATTTCTATTGTTGCAGATAGACCCCCAAGCGAATATTTTTTACCCTTTTACCCTCAGAGGTAAAGAAAAATGGTTATAAAGACTACGTGGATCCTCATCTACTTTGTTGGTTGTAATGCAGGAAAACTTTCCTACCAGCGCTTATGTATGCAAAGGATAAAGGACTCCCTATTACTCTCCACTGTGGAGAGGTGCATCAAAGTTTTGTAAATATCCAAATTAAGGCAATGAAGCAAAATTCTCTAGGTTCGAATCACTAACTGGTTTAATGTCGTGACTTAGTTCTTGTAGGTACCTAACCCTGAGGAAATTCAAGCAATGCTGGATATTTGTCCTGAGAGGTTAGGGCATGCATGTTTCCTTCAAGATGAAGAATGGCAAAGGGTTAAATCTTCAAGAATTCCTGTAAGTTTTCCAACTTCGATTTCTTTTTTATCACGATGATTGTTTCTTGGATTACTCACTCATATTATTATGTTTCAGGTCGAGATATGCTTGACATCTAATCTTCAAACAGAGCGTCTTACATCCATAGACTATCATCATTTCGGTTAGTAATTTTTCCTTATTAACAATATAATGTAGAGTTATTTGGAGTTTTGCGCTGGTTATTTGTCATCTCTGTTTATTTTATAAGTACAGACGCCCCCAGTCCTCGAGAGAATGTTATTTTACCATTAGTTTATAAACTCACATTGGAATCTTATGCTGTTCTTCTTAGCACAACTAACTCTGACCAAATCACATGATTCCTATGGAAGTTGATTTACAAAAGTAACAAAGAAAAACACATCCTCACGCAGCCAGAGAGTATGCGTAAATAAAGTAGAACAAGATTGCTATATACCGGATGTTTTGACACAATACTTGTATGCAGATGATCTCTACAAAGCAAAGCATCCTGTTGTTATCTGCACCGATGATCGAGGCCTCTTCTCTACTACTTTGTCCAATGAGTACTATTTAGCCGCTTCAACTTTCGGTAGGCATTTTAGTTTTTTACTCAAATCCATGATAAAAAATTACAAAATTAAAGATTTCTAAAGAAATTTCTCTTTTTTGGTCCTTTGGTTGTACCTTGAAGGACTCGCTAAGGGACAAATGATTGAGCTAGCTCGAAGTGCTATTGATTTTGTGTTTGCTGATGATGGAGTGAAGAAGAATATACGAGAGTTGTTCGAGGCTAGCGAGAGAGCATATTGACGACAACAACAACAGGAAGGCCTTTGTCTCAAATGTTGAGAGGAGATTGCAGCGATACAATTTGCTTAGGAATTGATTCTTAAATTTGCTTGGGACTTGCTTCTTATCAAATTTTTATAGATTGCAAATATGGGACCAGAACAATTGTATTAGAAGTTGGCAAGAACTATTGTTCATTGACTACTATGCAATAATTATTGTGCCATATGAGCAGGAATTTGTGCTCTGAATCAACAGTTGAGCAGTTTGGCAATGAAAGATGAAATATTGCTACCATAAAATACACTACAAAATAATGACAATCGCGAGCGAGCTTGTGTACAGGTCTCGTAACTTATTGATAACAAGATATAGACCATTGTAAAGGGTTTTTCTGACGAGTGCCCACGAGCGGACGCTCATTAGGGGAAGAGAGAGAGAGGGAGGGAGGGAGGAGGTAAAGAGGGAAATTAGTGAGAATTTGCAAGAATCCACTTACTATTCATTTCTCTCTATATCTCTCATTCCTCAGGGCACCCCCATGAGCATCCATTAGAAGAACCTTTCCTCAATTGATATATCCCGTTCCCAGCGTTTTATTTATAAAACAAGCAACAGAATGGACAGCTTCCAAGAGAGTAAATAGAGAATTGAAGTTGCAAGTAACTAAAAGTACATCCAAAAAGAGGTGTTTTAACTACAATGACACATGTTCCATTTCCTTCAATACTGAAATAACATAAAGACTAAAATTTGCGTAGGATTTGGAGGCAACTGATCACTTCTTCTCGGTGTTGTTACTTTCCAGTTCCGTCCTCAGCTGCAGAGAGAAATCATCATTGACGTCATCGTCATCCCAGTCATCTTCCCACTGCTGAAGGGCTTCCTTGCCTTCCTCTTTGTCATCCCATTCTGTAAAATAAGGAAGAAGCAGATGTTCTTAGTTTTCACTAATATAATGGGGCATACACTAACATGAAAAACAAGTTGAGGCAGCAGCATGCTTCTAAGAGGGGGCAACATGATGTGGGCTTATCTTCACCCGGGAAAATCAATTTGCAAGTCCACTACAGATTTCACATCTTAGTGCTTCAAATGAAAATGTCGAAACCTCTAATGAAAGCATGTGTACATAAAAAATATTGCATTGAGAATTATCAACAGTATTAACAATACAGTAGCATCCGCCACCTACTTTTACTGTAGATCATAAGGTATATTTTTCGTAAAAGAAGGGATTAGTAGATTTATCGATGGTAGTTATAGTTTATCCTTGAAAGGGGCGAGGAGGCAGGAAACTAGACGGGATTGCACCATTAAACTGTGAGAATAATCAGAAAGACACGTCATTTTTAGATGCAAATTCGGCAGTTCTTTTAGCGGGCGCTCAAGCACAAGCTTAGGAAGCTATAGTAAAATTGTAAAGGATGGAAGACAAAAAAAAAAGGCCTACAGAGAAATAGTACAAGACATACTCTCTTCTAGGTCTCACCAGAATGGGTTTACAAATATTAAATATAGAATCATTAAGTAGTGCCTCCAGAAATTTAATTTATGGGATTTTAACTTTGATAAGGAGAAAAGTGAAGCATGAAGCAGTGGCGCCTGCTTACGAAAAATGTTTTTGTGAGGTCCACAA